CCACCCCACCAGCCATCCTCCGCTCAGCTTCCAACAAGGCACTTGGTGTCGTTCGCTTAACCTCCAACTAGTTTCGGCGTGGTCACGCGAGCCTAAAGGTATTTGAAACCTGCTACACCACACGTCTTGTCAGGCAGGAGAAAACCTTCACTGGGCAAGGGCGCAAAAAAAAAACAACAAAACAGAGTTGGTATGCAAAAAGGAATGGATACACTGTAAATCTAGGGTGTCCAACAACTGTGCGACACAGAAAAAATTCATGACGTGAGTCGTAAAATTACAATTTGAAATTATACATTTAAGGTGGATTCAGAGTTCCCCAAAAGCGAGCGCGATTCTCACGCAAAGCGTGATTTTCACGCCCGGCGTGATTTTCACGCTTCCTAAGCTTCACGCAGCCAATCACGGATCGACTTTCATCACGCCGGGCGTGAAAATCACGCCGGGCGTGAATATCACGCCGGGCGTGAAAATCACACTTCGCGTAAGAATCACGCTCGCTTTTAGGGAACTCTGAATCCGCCTTAATGCGTGGAGAATTCGGGGCAGGTACGGGCGGGGACTGCGCGGCGCCCGGAGGTGAGGCAGCCCAAGCGGCGGCGGGTGCGATGGGCGGCCAGCCTCGCGGGCGCGGGCTCCGCGGGCGTAAGCTCACTCCACTCACCCGGAGGCGGCGCGGCGTCAGGATCTGCTTGCAGGTGATGGGGTGGATGATGGCGAAGTAGCGCTCCGTGCAGATCACCACTAGGATGAAGATCGACGCCGTGTAGCTCAGGCTGTGCACGAAGTGGTAGAGCTTGCACACCAGGTCGCCCAGCACCCAACTGCGAACACACGGAAAGCACACACCGACATGTAAAAGACGGCAAGAACGAAAACTATTAATTTTGTGAGAGGAGGGGTTGCCAATTTGTGGGGAACACACTATGGAACCCAACCCAACCCCCGATTCCGGATTCAGCGTTCCATCATACGTCAGGCGGGAAGGCGGCGGACATAGCGGCCGCTCGTAGAGCAGCCGTCGACCAGCATCAGTCTCTTCGCGACCAGGACGGCGGGGCAGTGCATCATTCCTGGACCGGCACGTCGACAGGCATGGGGAGGGGGAGGGTAGTTCCACTACTTCTTCTGAGGGAGGGAGAGAGAGACAGAGAGACAGAGTGAGGGAGGGAGGGAGGGAGAAAGGGAGAGGGGGGCAGAGAGAGAGAGAGAGAGAGAGAGAGAGAGAGAGAGAGAGAGAGAGAGATGGAGCGACTACTCGGCAAAATGGCACACGCCTCATTCGACGGCGCCTGGCCGCATTGTAGGTTGGGTCCGCGGGCCATAGCGGCAAAGGCGGGGGGGGGGGGGAGGGGGGCACACATGACTTACACGGCACTACTCTACTGGCTCGTTTGTAAAGCGCGCCCACATCAGTCGTCCGGCCCGGGACCCTTTGGGACTCCGACTCGCGGGGGGCGCCTTTCTCAACCTCCACCCCCTCCACCCTCGCCTTCACCCCCCCTTCCCCACTCTACCGCCCGCGGGCTCGCAGAGAAATGGGCCGCGAACAGCAGAGGCCGACCCACACGATAAAGAACGGAATAAGAACACCACCAGCCCAGCAGGCCCCGGAGGGCATTGTAATAGCGGGAGACAGACGAGGAGGCACGAGCCCTTCCAAAAGTACACGCAAGCAGCGAACACAGAGGACTTATGGTTATTCAGTCACGTTGAAAACCAACTGTTCTTTGACAGAGCCATGCATACATTGCTGACTTTTATTGAGGAAATCTTGAAACACCCAGAAAATAAACCCACAGGGAAAATAGACGACTAATAGACGTCTTTAAGATGTCTACAGATAGATGAAAGATGGTCTAATAGACGTCTAGCAAAGACGTCTAATAGATGATCTAAGTGCACACTTTCGTTCCTAAATTTAGACGTCTATCTTATATACATGAGTAGATGGCCCACTTTTTAAAGCATTTGCCTTGTCGAAAGTAAAAATGTTTGAACGACCAAGCAGCACAAGTTCTAGAACATGTGCCAAAAAACAAAGTCGGCTGTATGCAGTGTTCTTAAATTTTAACTCGTCCGTCTGAGATGATATCATTCCTTGATTTTAAAACTCCAACAGAATTACACAAACACAAACTTTGCGCGACTCGCGCCAAACTAGTTTCGTCACCCGCAGCCGCACACAAAAGGGGAGCCCACGATACATATGGATGGGCCGGACAACCCGACCCGCGCCAGTGAGTTTGGCTGAGTTGGGACCGTGCGGGCGAGCGTGCGAGAATTAGGCATTAATAAATAATAATTAATTGGTTCCAGCAGAGGTGCGGCACACAGCTGTGGTGGAGATGGATCGTAGTTTGACACACCCAGAAAAGCATACGTCCTCGTATAGATTGACTGCACTGGCAACATTCTTCTATGGGCTCCAGAATTGTTAGAATGGTACAAACGGTTACAATCCAAAGTTCGCACTACTGGAAGTATCAGCAGAAACATTTATGTAATCGAGTACGCCTCTATAAATGCAATTAAATTGGCATAAAAATAGCACATTTGCACACTAAATGGGGCGGGACAATTTGTGCACGTTGGCTATATGTGCCTTTGTGCAGTAGCACCTTTCTAAAGCCAGAGTATTTCATGAACGCCTTTGAAAGGCTTTAGATAGCACCTCTGTTTTTCCAGTGCTCCGGTCCCCTCTCCCACGCGCTGTCGACGCTCCATCTGCTCCGCCCCCGCGGGTCTCATAGACGACAAGGAGAACAGCAGGTGCATGTCTTTTCGGCAAACATGGGGTGCCACCGACAGCCAGGAGAGAGAGGAATGGGAGGGGGGGGGGGGTCGCCCCCGCGCAAAGGATGCTAGAGCTGCTGAGCTTTGAGCTTTTGCTAAGAGCGCTGCCATTCTCAGGGCGTACCCTGGAGAGATGTCGGAGAGAGGGGAGGGGGTCAACTCGGTCGTAGAGTATACAGCTTTCCAGACGACACGTCAGGGTCGGTGCCAAGCAAACGCTTTTCTCTCCTAGCAGCAGCAGCCATACCATGGAGGGGTCATGTGGAGGTGGGGGGCAAGTGACAACCTCCCCCGTCGCCCCACCTCTCCCCACTCCCCTCCCGCCACCACCACCCCACCCTTACACCACCCCCAGTTTCAACACACATTTGGAGCCGACGCACTCCACCAAGCAGCACAAGTACGCGGGCGCTGTCAACCCACGCGCTCAAGCCGCCAAGCGCGGGGTGGAGAGGTGGAGGGAGGGGGGAAAAGGGTTGCTGCGAGGCCACTGCCACTGCCAGGGAGATTTAAAGTTCCACTCGAAGCACGCGCAGCCATGCCTCGATGGTTTATAACGATGCCCCTTATCCCCGCCGTCCGGCGAGTCCCGAGCTCGACATGAGAAAAGAACGGGTGGATCAGCCCGGCGCACGCGTGGAGAACCTGGGGGAGCCTGCTGAAATAATGATGAAGAGAAATTAAACGGCGCCCGTGAATGCGCGATTCGAACGGAGACGAACGGCGGCGGTGACATAGTGGGAAAGGAGGGAGGGAGGGAAGGAGAGCGGAAAGGAGGGAGGGAGAGGGAAGAAGAGAAGGAGGGAGGGAGAGGGCAGTTAAAGCGAATGTGTGA